ATGGTGCTGACGCCGTCAATCCCTACCTGGCCATGGAGTGTATTCTCAAGATGAACCGGGAGAAGTTGATTCGCAAGCAACTTTCCGATGAGAAGGTCATTGAGAACTACAAGGCTTCTTGCGACGGAGGTATCCTGAAAGTCATGAGCAAGATGGGTATTTCTACCCTGCAATCATACAAGGGTGCCCAAATTTTCGAGGCTCTCGGTATTGACGACAGCGTCATTGACCGATGTTTCGCTGGAACTGCGAGCCGTATCCGTGGATTGACTTTTGAGCTGATCGCTCAGGATGCATATGCCTTCCACGAACGCGGATACCCATCTCGTTCCATCATTGAAATCCCCGGGCTTCCTGAATCGGGCGAGTACCACTGGCGTGACGGAGGTGAGGCGCACATCAACGACCCCGTCAGTATCGCCAATGTCCAAGACGCTGTCCGTACCAAGAACGACAAGTCTTACGAGGCTTACGCGAAGGCAGCACATGAGCAGATCAAGAACTGCACTCTGCGTGGTATGCTCGAGTTCGACTTCGAGCAACGGAGCCCCATTCCTATCGACCAGGTTGAGCCTTGGACTGAAATCGTCCGTCGTTTTGTGACAGGTGCCATGTCGTACGGATCCATCTCCATGGAATCTCACTCCACGCTGGCCATTGCCATGAACCGTCTTGGTGGTAAATCCAACACGGGTGAAGGTGGTGAAGACCCTGAGCGTAGCAAACGATTGGAGAATGGTGATACCATGCGGTCTGCCATCAAGCAAATTGCCTCCGGCCGTTTCGGTGTGACCTCCCACTACCTTGCTGATGCCGACGAGCTGCAGATCAAGATGGCCCAGGGCGCTAAGCCTGGAGAAGGTGGTGAGCTACCCGGCCACAAGGTCGTCGGCCCCATTGCCCACACCCGTTACTCCACTCCCGGTGTCGGTCTTATCTCACCTCCACCTCACCACGACATTTACTCAATTGAGGACCTGAAGCAGCTTATCTATGATCTCAAGTGTTCCAATCCTCGGTCCCGCGTTTCCGTGAAACTGGTGTCTGAAGTTGGTGTCGGTATCGTAGCCTCCGGTGTCGCCAAGGCCAAGGCTGATCATATTCTGATTTCCGGTCACGACGGTGGTACTGGTGCTTCTCGCTGGACTGGTATCAAATACGCCGGTCTTCCATGGGAACTGGGTCTCGCTGAGACCCATCAGACTCTGGTCCTCAACGATCTGCGTGGTCGTGTTGTGGTTCAGACTGACGGTCAACTTCGCACCGGTCGTGATATCGCTATCGCCTGTTTGCTGGGTGCTGAAGAATTCGGGTTTGCCACCACTCCCCTGATCGCTCTTGGTTGCATCATGATGCGGAAATGTCATCTGAATACTTGTCCTGTTGGTATCGCAACTCAGGATCCCGAACTCCGCCAAAAGTTCAAGGGCACACCCGAGCACGTGATCAACTTCTTCTATTATGTGGCTAATGAGATGCGTGCTATCATGGCCAAGCTGGGCATTCGGACGGTCAACGAGATGGTTGGACGTGCTGAGTTGCTCAAGGTCAGGGAGGACATTAGAAGCGCTAAGCAGGAGAGGATTGACCTCTCCCTCATCCTGACTCCCGCTCACTCTCTCCGTCCTGGTGTGGCTACTTACAATGTCCGCAAGCAAGACCACCGTCTGCATGTCCGACTTGACAACAAGCTGATCGCGGAGTCAGAACTGGCGCTGGAGAAGGGTTTGCCTTGCAGAGTTGAGTGTGATATTGTCAATACTGACCGTGCCCTGGGCGCTACTCTGTCGTACCAGGTCAGTCGCCGCTATGGTGGAGCCGGTCTTCCTCAAGATACCATCCACGCCAACATCAAGGGCTCTGCTGGTCAGTCCTTCGGTGCTTTCCTTGCTCCTGGTATTACTCTCGAACTTGAGGGTGACGCCAACGATTATGTGGGCAAGGGTCTTTCTGGCGGTCGTCTCATTGTCTATCCCCCTCGCGGTGCTGCCTACAAGGCAGAGGAGAACATCATTATCGGTAACACCTGTCTCTACGGTGCTACCCGGGGTACCTGCTACTTCCGTGGTGTGGCCGCTGAACGTTTCGCTGTTCGTAACTCCGGTGCTACTGCTGTTGTTGAAGGTGTTGGTGACCACGGTTGTGAGTACATGACCGGTGGTCGTGTGCTCATTCTTGGCTCGACCGGTCGTAACTTCGCTGCTGGTATGTCCGGTGGTATCGCCTATGTCTTGGACATGAACCAAGATTTCCTCTCCAAGGTCAATATGGAGATGGTCGAGGTTTCGGGCCTCGAAGACCCTGCTGAGATCGCCTTTGTCCGCGGTTTAATCGAGGACCACCACCACTACACTGGCTCAGAACTGGCCGCTCGTATCCTTCTGGACTTTACCCGTGCTCTTCCCCACTTTGTCAAGGTGTTGCCTACTGACTACAAGCGCATTCTGGATGAGGAAGCTGCCAAGGCCGCTGCCGCTAAGAAGGCCGAGTTCACTATTCCCCAGCTTCCCAGCACTCCTGCCGAGAAGTCCAAGCCCAAGACGGAAGGAGAGGAGAAGAAGGCCGAGATGCTGGACATCGAAGACAGTGTGAGCGACTCAAAGACTGAGAAGAAGAGGTCCGCTTTGATTCTTGACAAGACGAGGGGTTTCATGAAGTACAGCCGGCGCAGCGAGAAATACCGCAACCCGGCTACTCGTACCCGTGACTGGGCCGAGCTGTCGAGCCGTCTCAGTGAGGATGAGCTCAAGTACCAGTCCGCTCGTTGCATGGACTGTGGTGTCCCCTTCTGCCAATCTGACACCGGTTGCCCTATCTCCAACATCATTCCCAAGTGGAACGAGCTGGTGTTCCAAAATCAATGGCAGGATGCTCTCAACCGTTTACTCATGACCAACAACTTCCCGGAATTCACTGGTCGTGTCTGCCCTGCCCCTTGCGAAGGCGCTTGTGTGCTGGGCATCAATGAAGACCCTGTGGGTATTAAGTCTATTGAATGTGCCATCATCGACCGTGGCTTTGAGATGGGCTGGATGGTCCCTCGGCCCCCTAAGACGCGCACTGGCAAGACAGTCGCTGTTATTGGATCCGGGCCCGCTGGTCTCGCCGCTGCAGACCAGCTTAACCGTGCCGGACACAGCGTCACTGTCTACGAGCGTGCTGACCGTATTGGCGGTCTGCTGATGTACGGTATCCCCAACATGAAGCTTGATAAGAAGATCGTCCAACGCCGTGTCGATCTCATGGCCGCTGAGGGTGTCAAGTTCGTCACCAACACTGCCGTTGGCCCTGACAGCGAGGTGTCCCTGAACTCGCTGCGCCAGAGCAATGACGCCGTCATCATCGCCACTGGTGCCACTGTTGCCCGCGATCTGAAGGTCCCTGGCCGTGAGCTGGACGGGGTACATTATGCCATGCAGTTCCTGCACCGCAACACGAAGTCTCTTCTCGACTCGGGTCTCTCTGACGGCGAGTACATCTCCGCTAAGGACAAGCACGTTGTTGTCATTGGTGGTGGTGACACTGGTAACGACTGTATTGGTACCTCTGTTCGCCATGGTGCCAAGTCTGTTGTTAACTTCGAGTTGCTGCCTCAGCCTCCACCAGAGCGTGCCCGTGACAACCCATGGCCCCAGTGGCCCCGTATTTACCGTGTCGACTACGGCCACTCTGAGGTCAAGACCCACATGGGCAAGGATCCTCGCGAGTACTGTGTCATGTCTACTGAGTTTGTCGACGACGGTAACGGTCACGTCAAGGGTATCAACACTGTCCGCGTCGAATGGACCAAGAGCGCCTCTGGCGGTTGGGATATGAAGACCATTGAAGGTAGCGAACAGTTCTTCCCTGCGGACCTTGTTCTCCTTTCGATGGGTTTCCTCGGTCCTGAAGACCGCCTTCTGGGCGATGAAATTGAGCGCGATGCCCGTAAGAACGTCAAGACGCCTCCAGGTCATTATTCAACCAGTGTGTCCGGCGTCTTTGCTGCTGGTGACTGCCGCCGAGGACAGTCGCTCATTGTCTGGTAAGTCTACACCAATCCCAAATTGACTCAAGGCTGGGTAAACCAACGGATCGTAACTAACACTGTCTTCTAGGGGTATCAACGAAGGTCGTCAATGTGCTCGTGAAGTTGACAGCTTCCTGATGGACACCAGCTCTCAGCTTCCTGTGACTGGTGGTATCGTACGCCGGCCAGCCATTGACGTGATACCAAAGACAAGCGAGACCACTACTGTTGTCGCCTAGACGATTGTGAGCTTGCTATCTCTGGGACTGTGACAGTATTTTCATGATGATAAATGATTCAAGATATCTTTCTTTTGTTGTTGAAAAGTTCGTTGACCGATCCCAAATCCATTACAGGGTGGTCAATTGTATCTACCATGTTAGGCGCATCACGATTACATGGATGTGGCAGAGGGAGGCTCACTGACTCTTTTCATTTCGGTCTCCTCACTTTCTGATTATTCTTCGGAGAAAGGCGAGTTTGCTTTTGGTTGCAGCGTCGTTTTACAGGATCTTATGGTGAACATTCAAGGTGTCGCCGGAGCTTTTACGATTCCCGCAAGTTCTATGTCTTACATTTTATGTAGATATCCTTTTCTATCATCAATCTGAGTCTCATTTTATATTTAATGCGTTTTGGTGTTTCAAATGGAACCCTTCCAAAAACCCAAAAAAAAGAGTAATTTCTGTCTGACAAAATGGAGGATTGACCTCGAGTCTTAGTGTAAATTTGCAGGCAGGAATGTGAATGCGTACCTCATCCGTCTGCAGTTTCATTCCGTCGAGGATGTTCTTGATTGCTGATAATCGCTCCTCGACCATTCGGGTGTCCGAGAAAAGAGTTGGAACTCTTCGGGTCTATTCTGCTTTTGAGAGCCTTTATTGGAAGTAAGACTTACCTTCCTCTTCGCTAAGCTATCTTTATTCCTGACGCTAGGAGATGGCTATCTGGATGTTGTGACACTGCGCTATTCGTTCTGCATTGACTCATTTTAAAGCGATTTTCTCGAGGTGGGCCTGGATGGAGAGTGAGATGGCGACCTGACGAAGCCGAACGTATCTTCCAAATATTGTCTCCTTGCCTTTTGGAAAAGGTATTTCTCGTCCTGACACATGACCTCATCCAGAACCACGTCACCAGAGAAATACTCCATAGCGTTGTAGTACATGTTCAGACGGTTGGTAGACTCGTCCACCATGGCCCGAAGGTTCCTCTGCACCATCTCCTGATCCGAGGGAGTGGGCGGTTTCATGCATGGCTTGACTGCGACTCTGCATGAGGAGCGATAGCCACCAGGGCTGCGCTCGCATTCACGCTCGCGGCTTCTGTAGTCGGGTCTCGGAATCTCAGTGACGGGACCCCAGCGGACGGTCTTTCTGGCGGGCGGGGCATCGTCTTGCTGGTGGTTATCGCTGTGTCTTTCGTGCAACTGCATGCGTTCCAGCGGATTCCTGCAGTCTTCGTCAGTGTGGGAGCCGTGACTGCACGCGAAGCGGTCTGAGAAGCGCCGTCGTCTGCGAGAACGACGTCGTGGCGGTGGGGACGACGGTGGTGATCGGGGCCTTGGAGGTGAATGTGAGCAGCCCATGATGACGATGATTAGGAACAGGAGGTGATTTAGACGGGATCTCATCATGAAGCTAGAATTAGGGGAATGGGGGAATGCAGGAATTGTTGAGTTCCATTTTTTTTCCCGCTGTGCGTTCCCTTTGCTTTTATAATCATAGTTGTCTGCTGAGCCCCTGAGGTCTGGGACAGTGATATGAGACACACGTTGACTTGGAGCCTTGATACTGAGCCTCGATGGTTGATGAACAATGAGAACAAGTGCATCGGTGAGGATCTTCTTTGTCCTTGTTCTAGACACAATGCTTTATGTGTCACCGGCGGGGAGCTTGCTTTCTCCGAATCGTCGAGTCATGAAAGAGCAGCTATCCATGTATGAGACTACGGCAACGAGTCAAGGATATTAAGACTTTTCACTCAGTAGTATCCCAGTCGCTAAACATAAGATGTACTCCGTAGTTCACAATATATAATACAATCGTCCCAGAACGGACAGTTATCCAATCCAGAAGGTATGAAAGAGGCACAAGGAAGACAGGGCCAAGAAAAAACAAAGAATGGCTCTATATCCCACCAGCGTTGCGACTTGCTTCCTCCTCGGCCTTCATCTCCCTCTCCAGTGCGGCAAAATCCCCCTGGAAAGCATGCTGTACTGGTTCCCTCCGAAGGTCCCAGACATCCTCACTGCTCGGCCCCGTCTTGTACTTGACGGCCTTTTTCCGGTAGTGGTCCCGAATCACTTTCTTGCGCTCCTCGTCCGCCATTCCGCGGGCCTTCATGCACAGCCAGAAATTATCCCAGTGTTCGCTGCACGACCGCAGCTCGCCGTAGCGGTATACGTTCACAAACTGGCCTCCAAACGACTGGCAGAAAAACGCATAGTCAAAAGCAGAGCGGCAGGACATGGTATCGGGGTAGAGAGACTCGGGGGCGATCGAAGCTGGAGTTTGCGGAGGGCCGGAGGGTGATGTTGACGATGGGGATAGGGGAGATTCTGAGACATTGGACGACTGCTGTGGTGATTTTGTTCGTGATACGTCGGCTTTTAAGCTCTCCAGTAACTGGTTGAACTCTGCATCCGCTTGTTCCTCGAGACTCAACGGCCGAGACTGCGACGATGGCGGCGTGGTGTCTGGTGTCTCTGCTGCCGGTGATGGCTGCGGCGCCGCATTGTCGGACAAAGAAGGCATAGAGGAGGTCGCTTGAGGTTCCTCCTTTGAGGGGGATGATCTCCAAAGCCAGCCCATTATGGGTTTATCGGGTGCTGGGGGATTATGGGATGGAGAGATCTCTTTGTCTTGTGGATCGAGTTATCCACATCAATAATATACGCATTTTAATGCAAAAACGATCTTCGTCTTCGGAGGTGTAAATTTCGCAGTTCATCCCGCAAACGAGCTGTGACGGTAATCTGGAGCAACTTATAAACTTTCGTGTAATAAATGTTGTTACATGCTGTATTGGCTTTACAAATGCGCTCATGATCGACGTCATACGTAGGTACCAAGCTTCCCCTCATAATAAAGTACTCTTGGATATAAATCCATCACAATCATCTTCGGCAACACTCTTCTCCAATCTTCAAAAAAAGAATGTCATCCGCGCCGCGATGATGCGAACTCGAATCCCGGGTTTGGTACCTCGAATCTGCCAGACCCCTCTATCCTGGAAACCTCCTGCTACACAACTGACTCGAGCCCGCTATGCAAGATTGAATTCTTCACATGCAGTGTCATGGCTCGAGACAGGACACATTGATCTGAAAAAGGATGAGGGACTCTTTTTTGTCAATAGTAAGACCTTGCCTACCTTCCATGTGTCACCCCTACGCATAAGTTAATGCTTCAAAAATAGATATCTTTCCGTCCCAACTCCAATGGCTGCTGCGGGGTCCGCTGGGTGGTTTGCGGTCCTATGAGGAGGCCGTGAAGCGCATCGACAGACCGCATTTGGCGGCATCGGATACTTTTCAGATCATCCAACGAGTGGTTCCAGAGAACCTCAATATCCAAGTTAAAGAGGTCGTTCCGCGGTTCAGGGAAGGCGGCGCGTTTGTCAAGTACACTCGTCCAAGCAATATCAACGACGCCGACATTGAAGCCTCTATCAAAGAGAACCTGAAAGAGCATCCCATCAGGCCCTGGTTCAATCCTTTTCAAAAAGTCCAAGTATGTCGCGTCATTGGAAGGCCCTGGATAGAAGATCTCTATCGCATTCCAAGCCCCCGCCTCAAGGTTGCCTTCCACCCTGTGTCTCCCGAAGCATCAGCGGCAGATCTGAGCACGGAGACTCTATACACTCTATTTCGCCCCTATGGGAAGATCAGAGACATAGAGAAACAACCGTCTGACTCGAAGGTCACGCCCAGATATGCCTTTGTGGAATTTTCTCGGCCCAAGTACGCTGGTATGGCGAAGAACTGTATGCACGGATTCACTGTCCCAGAACAAGAGGGTGGCGGCAAATCGGGTACTCGGCTGAAGATCAAGTACGAACGGAAGATCAAGCTATCCATGGTCAAGGACTGGCTTTTGAGTCATCCCAGAATCGTGATTCCAGTGCTCGCCGCCCTTTTGGCCGCCATCACCGTCATCATCTTCGATCCAATGCGGACATTTTTCATCAAACTGAAAATAAAGTCGACACTTCAGACCGAAGAGAATGGCGTGATGCAATGGATCCGCAAACAGGCGAACAAAGCAAACATCATTTATTTTGGTCGTAAAGGGGCGGATCCTCGCGGGCTCACGGCCATATGGGAGGACCGTCAGGACGACATTACTCGACTGCAATCCTGGCTCATGGAGAATGTGGAAACTTTCATCGTTGTTCATGGACCTCGTGGCTCGGGCAAGCGGGAGCTTGTATTGGACCGGGCGCTGGTCAACTACAAATATAAGATAGTCATCGACTGTAAACAAATCCAAGACGCACGGGGTGACAGTGCGAAAATTGCCAGGGCAGCCAGTCAGGTAGGCTACCGACCGGTTTTCTCATGGATGAACAGCATCAGCAGTTTTATCGATCTCGCGGCACAGGGAATGATTGGAACCAAAGCAGGGTTCTCGGAGACGCTGGACGCCCAGCTGAGCAACATCTGGCAAAACACTGCTACCGCTTTGAAGAAAGTGACCTTGGAGCATAGGAAGAAAGATGACAAGGAGTCGCACTTGACCGACGAAGAGTATCTTGAGGCTCATCCCGAGCTTCGCCCAGTGGTGATAATTGACAACTACCTGCACAATGCTTCCGAGAGCAGCGTCGTGTACGACAAGATCACCGAGTGGGCCGCTGGCCTAACGGCCGGCAACATTGCCCATGTCATATTCCTCACGACCGATGTCTCGTACGCCAAACCTTTGAGCAAAGCGTTGCCAAATTCGGTTTTCCGCACAATCACCCTGGGTGACTGTTCTTTGGAGGTCGGCAGGAAGTTTGTTATGAATCACTTGGCATATGAGTCAAAGGATGGGAAGACTCAGCCACGGCGTGCTGAAGAGCTGGAGGACCTAGACGCTTGCATTGAGACCTTGGGAGGCAGGGTGACAGATCTTGAATTCATGGCACACCGTATTGAGGCAGGAGAGACACCACGAGGTACGTCAAGTGCACCGGCCACGCTCTATGATAGATGACTAACATACGCTCAAGGCGCGGTCAACCGCATTATCGAACAGTCGGCATCTGAAATTCTCAAGATGTTCCTTTTGACGCCGGAAACTATAGAGCAGTCGTGGACCCACGAACAGGCTTGGTATCTGATCAAAAAGCTTGCAGAGTGCAAAGGTGGTGCTCTGTCTTACAATGAAGTTGTTCTCTCCGAGCTCTTCAAAGACAATGGCGAGATCACCCTTCGAGCTCTCGAGCACGCCGAACTCATTTCAATCGCCGCCGTCAACGGCTGCCCTCATACAATCCGGCCTGGAAAGCCCGTTCTTCGCGCAGCGTTCAAGAAGGTCACCGAGAACAAAGCGTTGAGCAGTCGCATGGACCTCGCAATCATAGCACAGAAGATCAACAAAGAGAATAAGAGCATCGGAAAATACGAGGAAGAACTCAGCCTGCTGGGCTCTCTGCCTAAGCAGCCGCGGGAGCTGACAGGCAGGATCCAATGGTTGCTCGACAAGGTATACAGTTCGCAAAACAAGATTGCGAAATATGAGAAGGAAAGTGCATTTCTACAGAAGGTTCTTCAAAGCGAGCATTGATTGGATGATGTATGAGTCGTGTGAGTCGGGTCAACCGGTATGTCGGATGAAGTGATAATGTATATACTATATCAATTAAGTCCTATTCAAATTCTGAATTCGCTCGAGAGTGGCGGGTTTAAACATAGCGATGCACCTCATGATACCAGTTTGAGTGTTTGACCCTCACAGAGGATGAGGAGGATAACTTAACCCTGTTGAGTAAGCGGCCAGTGTAAAATTACGGTTTCATGATTACACAATGTTGCACTATCTTGGTGAGACTCAGGTATCTGCCGTCCATGTGTCTTTTGCCCTTGTAGATTGATTGAATAATTCTTGCCATCTTGAAAATGTGTTGTTCTCTGTATTAAGTACCTTATATTTGCTCCCAACATTGAAACAGGGTTTATTGCCTCTTCTTTTTGTTTTTGGCCTGCTTATTTACATTTCGTTTGGCTTGTCTTCATATGTCTGTTTTGCCTCTCTTGGTCCTTTAGCATTCCATCCATTGCCAGGGCAGTCTCCCCTTCACAGCCTCTGTTCGGTTTCATCGGACGGGGAATAATGGGAAATCATAAGTTAGCCCCAAGCAGTCTGCTACGATTGTCTATGGACGATGTTCGAGAGTCGATATGGCCGACATTGCTGGGTATTCTTCTCTTCTCATGTCTCGCTACCCGCATCATTACTGGCCTCAAAAGCTGGCCCGATAAGAGGACAGATGCAGGACGTCCAAGATCAGTAAGGGTGGTCCCATACTGGCTTCCATGGTTGGGACATAGCATTCCGTTTGGCTGGGATCATATCGACTTTGTTCGAAGGACAAGGTTCGTGCCTACATTGCCTATCAGTTGTAGAGAGTTAAGTGGCTGACTGGAAAGATAGAGATTACATGAACGAAGCTGTATTTGGCATCATCTTGGGTGGCACAAAGCACGATGTCGTAGTGTCACCGTCGCTCACTAGGGCCGTCCTGGCCTCCCGAGACACATCTTCTACTTCATTGATCAATTACGCATTGGAAAAGGTCGGGGGTGATAAGGGCGCGATTCGTAACCTCAGCGCCCCTGAACACCATATCATCCATCATAATATCCCCAATCTCTTCATGCGAGAACCGTTTCTCACAGAGGCTTCCAAGGTCGCCAAGTACATCACTGAACGTGAGACTCCTAATCTGGTGACGTTCTGTCGTAGCATGGTTGACCAGGCGCCGTGGGAGCGCAGGAGCGAAGCTGAAGTTATCGATGGGCAGGAGAAGCCTATGGCTGAAGTGAACCTTTTTGCTCTTGTGAGAAACTTCGTGGGCCACATCAGCACATCCGTGTCCATGGGACAAGCTCTTCTTGAAGTCTTTCCGAATCTACTTGATGATATGTGGGCGTTTGATAACAGATTCCCTGCCCTGTCGCTTGGTGCTCCCCGCTGGTTACCATTGCCAGGTCTTTCGGCCGCATATGCAGCCCGTGATCGTATTTTGGATGCTCTTGCCGCCTACCACCAGGCATTCATCTCTTGGGATGAAGGAATTGATCCTGGTATCAAGTTTCGCGATCTTGACGATGTATCAGAGCCGATGAAGCAAAGGATCCGGAAATTCAAAGAACTCGGACTATCGCCAAGATCAAGCGCCCCTGGTCATTTGTCTCTATTCTGGGCCCTGAACGCCAACTCACCCAATGTCGTTTTCTGGCACATTCTTCGCATCTACTCTGACCCTGCTCTTCTGGAGGAAATCCGGAAGGAAATTGCTCCTTTTGCAAAGGTCCATAGGCCCAGTCGCGAGGAGACAGGGCTCCCATTCCAAGAACCACCCAAGGCCTCCCTTGATCCGGATGGGTTATTTCGATCTTGCCCACTACTCAAAGCCAGCTTCTATGAGACCATGCGGTTAGATTCAGCAGGGCTTTCCTTTCGTGAAGTCACCTCTGACTTGACCGTTACTGAGTCCCCTGAAGATGCAGCAGCTGCCAATTTAGCGGAACCACGCACTTACCGGGTCGGAAAAGGGGGAAACGTAATCATGGCTCACGGGGTAGTCCAGAAAGACCCCCAAC